ATGTTTGAGGGGCTTTTTGTTTTGTTTTGTTTTGTTTTTTTTTTTTTTGGTTTTTCGAGACAGGGTTTCTCTGTGGTTTTGGAGCCTGTCCTGGAACTAGCTCTTGTAGACCAGGCTGGTCTCGAACTCACAGAGATCCGCCTGCCACCACCGCCCGGCGGCTTTTTTTTATTTTTGTATTTTTTTTGTGTTTGGTTGGTTTGGTTGGTTTGAATTTTGAGACAGTTTCTCTGTGTAACAGCTCTGACTGTCCTGGATTCTGGAACTTGCTTTGTAGACCAGGCTGGCCTCAAATTCAGAGGTCTGTCTGCCTCTCTGCTGAAGTGTTGGAATTAAAGGCGTGATAATGAACCAAGACAGTCTTGTTCAGCCATAGGCATAACCTGCTGGTCAGTTTCCCTGCCGCATGGTGGTCAGTCTCTTGTATTTCTGCTCTCATTTTATTTCTTCTCTCCCCTTAAAGGTTTATTTCAGCTTTGTGTATATAGGTATTGCGCATATCTGTGCACCACTTGTGTGCCCAGAGGCCAGAAGAGGCACTGGGTCCTTTGGAACTGGAGTTACAGACAGTTGCAAACTGCCATGTGGGTGCTGGGAACCAAACTCAGGACTTCAGAGCAGCCAAGGCTCTTAACCACCTTGCCATCTCTCTAGGTCCTTCTCGTCATGATTTATTTTTCTCCCTCATTAGGCAAATGACTACTGTTTAGCGTCTCCTGGGTACAGATCAGGAGCTAAGCAGTTTGTATCTTTTGTTATTTTTTTCTAAAATGGATTTTTACTGTATAGCTCAAGCTGACCTGAACTCCTTGTGCAGAGAACTGGTGGCAAGCCTGCCTCAGCCTCCCGAGAGCTTGGATTGCAATCACGAACAACTATGCTACAAGGTTTTCCCACTTCTGAAGGGTTGAGGATGGGGAAGAATACTCAGGAGGGCATCTATGGCTGGTAAAGCCTGGAATACTGTCTAATGCTTGGAAAGAAAGAACTTGCTGTTTTCAGTTCTCAGACTGGAAACTATGTCATTCACACTTTATTTCTTTCTTCTTTTTTTTTTTCCCTAGTATAATCACCTCAGATTATACATTCTCTTTCAGATACAACTTCGTATGAGTTCTGGTGTGCAGCCTCTCCTCCAACAGCAATCCTAAAGATTTTCTGGTGGTTTTGGTGGGTGGGTAGGGTTATTGTTGAGTTTTTCTTGTTTTGTTTTTTAGTGCTATGGATGAACCCAGAGCTTCATGCATGCCAGGCACATGTGCTCTGCTGCCGAGCCAGGCCCAGCTCAGTCACCAAGCCACACCTTTGGTCTTTCTCTGGCAGATTCTCGGCCAGGACCCTATTACCAAGCCATGCCCTCTGCCTCTTACCAGTAGAGTTCAAGTCAGACATTTACTGTCAATGCCCCAGCCCTTCACGGATTCCAGGCAAGTACTCTACTGTCCAGCTATGCCCAGGCCTCACTGGAGGAGTCTAGGCAAGTGCTTTGTCATGGAACCCAGCTAGTTCTAAGTGTCTTCTCTAATTCCTAATTTTCTTCTTTGACCTATGAGTTACATAAGTGACTTTCTTGTGATTTTCTTTTTTAGGATTTATATGTGTGCATGAAAACATTTTTGCCACTTGTGTGGGTGCCTGTGGAGGCCAGAAGAGGGTGTTGGATGCCCAGGAGCCAGGATTACAGGAAGTTGGTAGCTACCTGATACGGTGCTGGGGCTGAACTCAGGTCCTCTGGAAGAGCAGTAAGTGGTCTTCATGGCTAAACCATCTCTCCAGTCTTATCAATTTTTTTATTATAGATTTATTTATTTATTATGTGTACAATATTCTACCTCATACCAGAAGAGGGCACCAGATCTCACTATAGATAGATGGTTGTGAGCCATCATGTGGTTGCTGGGAATTGAACTCAGGACCTCTGGAAGAGCAGCCAGTGCTCTTAACCTCTGAGCCATCTCTCCAGCCCTTCTTATCCATTTTTTAAAATGAAGTTTTCTTTGTTGTTATAGAGGTATGATCAGATAGTTACGGATAAGTACCAATTTCTTGACATGTATTGATATGTTCTCCTGACCTATGCATGGTCACACTTTGACGGCGATTCCCCATGCCTGAAAGGCTGTGACTCCATTGTTAGGAGCACCATCTGGGACACACGTGAGCTGTCTGTCTTACTGCTCACCAGAATCCCCATTGGGACAGGAAACTGGTGACTTTTTCCTTTAATCTGCACTGTTTTGTCATGGAACTTTCTGAGAACAGCTACATTTGTGGTTTCTTCCTGTTCAGATTTTAGTCTGTTTTCACTTCTGTATCTGAACTCGTGTTTCCATACTATTGTGCCCCCAGACCCTGTTCTCTTCTCTGAAGCCCAGGTCCCCTTGCTGCATCCAGCACCCCAAGCTTGTCCCCAGAACCTTTGCACCATCTGTTCTCCCTAAGCAGAACACACTTCCTCAGATGCTTCCCCACAAGACAAGAGCAGGAACCAGTCACAAGGCGGATGCCTGAAACCAGGTTTTCTGGTGAGCCTGAAGAGGTGTCTGTGCCGGCCAGACCTGGGTGAGGTGTCAGGCCACAAGGCCACATTATGTTCAGGATCCACTGCCGTATCTACACCAGCAGGACCTGCTCCATCTGAGCCCCACAGGACAGGCAGAAGTGTCTGAGCCAGGAGAGGATATCTCCTTTGAAGATGGCATTCAAGAAGCAGGAGCCAGTCAAGCAAGGGGAGCTGCTTAAGCGCCTGAGGGTCCACAGCAGGCTGGACGGGCAGCTGCCACGGTATGTCTCTGCCCCTCATAGCAGTAAGAGTCAACATCTATCTCAATGGATTCAAGAATAAGCAAGCCTCAGTTTGTCCTTGAAAAACAGTTGAGTCTAACAGATTCTAACATGTAAGTGCCTCTGAGATATATAAATCAGACAAGACCCACACGATGCCATTGTTCGGGGACAGAGGTGGACTAGAAAGGTAGAGAGGGTGATAAACAGGGGAAAGGGCTTCAGCTTCAAGATATTCAAAGTTTTAGGCTGGAGAGACGTCTCAGAGGTTAAAAGCACTAGCTGCTCTTGTAGTAGGACCTGAGTTCAGTTCCTAGCACCCACATGGTGGCTCACAACCCTCTGTAACTCCAGTCCCAGGAGATCATCTTCTGACCTTCAAGGACACCAGGCATAGTTACACATTCAGGCAAAACACACATACACATTACGTAAGTAAATGGTAAGCTTAAAAAATAAAGAACGCATGGAAAGTTCTGGAGCTGGAAGTCACACAATTATCTTGATGTCGCTGAACTGTGTACCTAAAAGCAGGACACTTGCCAAATGACAGCTCTGAGGATGATGGGAAATCAGCCTCACTGAGAGATGTGGAGGGCAGAGGCAGGGTTGTACTCCTATCTCGATGCTGCTGGCACAGGTGAGGATGCAGGAGGAAGTCTGGCAGGCTTGTAGCTAGCAGCAGCCTAGCTGCAGTCAAGGGGCAGGAAACAAGGCACCAATGAAGGTTCAAAGGAGGACTCCACCCAGGCTGAGGAGTTAGGGTGGGGCTCAGAGGCCCAGAGCAGGAAACAGGCAACTGAGGGGAGGCAGGCAGGGGCAGCTTTGGGAACAGAAGAAATGGTAAGCAGGTCCAGTAGCCTTTGTGAGGCCTGAGTTCTCTAAGAACTAAAGACGCATGGCATTATCACAAGCAGACAGGTGATAGGTAGCCTCAGCTGGGCTTGACTAAGCAGATAGCCACTCAGGCATGCAGATGGTGTATAAAACAAACCAACTGTCCCTATAGTCCTCTATGAGATTAACCCCTTTCAGTAGGCCAGGTGGCTAAGAGGCCCGTGTTGACACAGGGAATACTGAGCAGCCTTAGAGAAATGTACTCAGGGTGACAGGCCAAGGAATGGGTGAGCTCACACAGGATTCTAGTGGTCCACAGCAAGGGAGCAAGGACACTGGTTATAGAGCTGAGATCAGAAACCAGAGAAGGGCAGTTCCCAGTGCTAGGCCACAAGCCTTGCAGGGTCTGAGTACCTGGCAGTGCTGACCCTCATCAGCCCTGGAAATGCCACATTGCACAGCTGGTTGCAGAATTATGAAATCACATTTGGCAATCCTTGGCCTGAGTGAGTCCTCTGAGTAACACACACTGTGATGAGGGCCACTAACCAGACCAGATTGTCCTGGAACTAAACACTAAAGCTTTGGTGTGGCCATGTGAACTAGCTGGGTCACTGCCTGCCTCACAGGGCTCTGCAGATGCAGCCCAAGTTCCAACAGCAACAAAAACTCTGGGCCATCAATGGAAAGGAAACCTTTAAGGCCATGTCACAGCTGTGCAAGTGACTGTGTCAGACAAGCACCACTGAACACACACTCACTGACACGGGTCTGCTGATGGGGAGAGGGCTGGGAACACACCACTGGTTTCCAGTCACAGGAAAGATAAGAGACCCTGAAAGTCAAACCCCACTAAAACTTGATGTATGCCCAGATCATCTGACAGGGAAGCAGGACTAACGTCAATCACCTTTCATAAATTTTCTCGCAAAAAAACCAAAAAACAAAAAACAACCATTTTCTCCAGAGATGATCATTTCCTGTGCTGTCCTAAAGCCCTTCCTCATAATAGTGTTCCTCAGTGGAAAATCCCTGAAGAGGTGCTAGCTATGCTGCCAGCAGCATCACTTTTGGGGACTGATATGGCCACTTCACATCCCAGAAGCTCAACATCATGAGGCTACAGAAAAGCACACTCAGGACTCAGCAGTGGGATCTCATAGATCAGCCCAACCAGCTGCTAGAAGGCCAGGTGGTCACCAAGCCATAGTTAGTCAACCACAGACACCAAGGGCCAAGGGTGCAGATCACCCCAAGCACCCAAGGCTGTGATCCCTCCACAGGAAACCTACAACCATCAGCCTCAAAGTTGTCAAGCAAATCATACTCTCTTTTCACAGCAGGTTTCTGACAAAAAAAAAGCAGAACTAGTCAGAATCTAGGCAGAACCATGTTTAATACAATGCCCTCTGAAAACCCATTTCAAAATAGAGAAGCTCTCCCAAACTGTAGAAGCCATAAAAATGCAAAATACTTCTTTAGGAAAAACTGAATCAAAATTACGCCTCAATTTTCAAAATAACACACAAGTTATTTCCACTGGTCAGGCACCAAGGTGACAAGACAGTAACTACGCTCAGTCAAAATTCAGTTGTTCTCGATCTGCTCCAGGTCCAGGTCGTTGTGGTCCAGTGGGAAGACACCCTCCTCTCCTGCACTGTCCCAGTCACTGGGCTCCCCACTGCTCCCACCCTCTCCTGTGCTGGCCTCTGGCTCCCCTGAAGCCCAGGCACTGGGGCTGGTTGGGCCAGGTCTAGGGATCCTTGGGCTGGAGCCAGGTGTGATGACGCCCACAAGGCCCTGAGAGTTACACGGGGAGGACACAACAGTCTTCGCCTGGGTATCATCCTCATCATCTTCATAGTCCAGGGAGCAAAGGCTCTTTGAGTTTTTTAAAGTCTGCAATAGAAAAGACAGGGGCTGAAGGCATTTCTGATAGGTGTGCAAGAAACACTCTGCCTGCCACAACACTGTGTCCTCAGTGTCCAGTCCACTCCAAACAGTCACCAAGCACCAGTTACCTTGGGCTGTTTCCTGGACTCTGCTCATCCCATCCCTGGCCTTATCAGAAAGCAGGGTCACAGAGTTCCCATAGTACCTACTAGGTTGGTACTGGGAAGACCATTTGGTACTGGACCCACCCAGAAAGGGCTGCATCTTAGCCCATCTAGCTCTCAGGAGACAGACTATCCAGGAAGATCCCAATGCAGCCCATCTCCAACAACACCCAGTTGTTCCCAAGAGACCTCAGGCAAGGTCAGCCAGTTGGAACTCATTAGACCCCCAAACACCCATGATTCATTCCTCAAATCCTAACAGCCTCAACCCTGCTTCTCACCTTCCTCTCTCATCTTCTAAAGGCTAACCTTCCTCAAATACAACATGTGGAAAGATTTATCATCCTAAATCATCTAAGAAAAAAACACACACATACACAGAAGGGGCCTCTGATTACCCTTTTCCAGGCATGCACTCTGAGCCCTGCCAGCATCTTAGGATGCCTCCAGTATATACCTATCCAAGACAAACCCAGGGCACAGAGCCATAAGGGCCAGCTGAGAGGCTGTGTTGTCTGCATGTCCTCTGGAAATTCAACTGTCAGTCTCTGCCCCAAACCAGAGTTCTCTCCCGGTTCCAATAGTCCTTGCCTACTCAGAGGGCTTGTTAGACTGTTCACACGTCTCTTAGAAGTCACCTACATCCTCAAGATGCACATACAGTAGGGCTACATCAGACCAACTGCCTTTGACATGGCTAGGCCTTGTTTCCCTGCCCCTTCCCTGGTATGACCTGTGTTCCCCTTCCAGGAGTGCCCAGTCCCTTTCACATGCCCTATGTTCTCTCCGCAATCTCCAGCAGGCTCCTATAAACTGGCCTCTGACAGGTGCCATGGCTGAGGAGTCTAAAAGGCGTGTGAGTACAGGGACAGCAACACAGATGACAGGACACAGACCATGCAAGCCACACTGGTCGTCAGAACACAAGGTAACCAGTGCTATAAGACAACAGAAAAAGCCTTTCTAAGTGTCTTCTAATTGAGACTGAGACACACAGAATCACAAAAATAGAGACACACAGAGAGAAACAAAGTAACCCAGGGTGGCTTAAACTTGCTATGTAGGGGCTGGAGAGATGGCTCAGCAGTTAGGGTACTGGCTGCTCTTCCAGAGAATCAGAGTTCAATTCTCCGGAACCCACATGGCAGCTTCTAAGTGTCTATAGCTCCAGTTCCAGGGGATCTGACACAGCCACACATTCAAGCAAAGCATCAATGTACATAAATAAAAATAAATTCTAAAAAAACTTCCTTTGTAGCTGAGTCTTGAATTTCTGATCCTCCTGCTTCTTCCACCTTCTGAATGCTGGGTTTCAGGCATGTGCTACCACTCTGGGCACATTTTTTGACAAGAAGATCCCTAGAAATGGTCCTATCACAAACAGACAGAGACACACAAGCCCTAGGGAGAACAGAGCAGTGCTTTTATGGGAATTAGTTGTCTCCACAAGACAAGCTGCAGTATCTTTTGTTTTTATTGTTCAACTATAAAGAGTGACTCCCTGCTGAGCATGTGACATTTGACTGTGTACACAGCTATTATCCTAGTCCTTGGGAGCTGGAGGGCAAGAGGATCTCAATTTCTAGGCTAACTGGGGGGGCAAACGAGAGACTCTGTCTCAAAAACAGTAAACCAATTTGAGAAGTAATGTTTTAACGAGCAAATCCTTAAAAATATCAGCAGCTAGATTCTGATCACAAAAATAAAAAGGCATAATTTATTTTTTACTCAAATCAAGATGAATTTGACTATCCATGTCACTGTATCAGCTGGAGGACCTGTGCCAGTTTGTCTCCTGTGCCCCTACTGGACAATGAAAACATCCAAGTGCGGGACAGTAGACCATGGGCACACACCAGCAGCCCGATCTCCTGTCCTGACAAGACATATACTTGGGTCTGCAGTCAGAAGCCTGCCCTCAGGACTTACACACTGGTCTCACAGATGTGTGAAAACACTGCTGGGCCCACTGCCCTCCGAGTCAGCTCAACAGGGAGCAGCTCTGATGGGCTCCTCTATTCACAGAGAAATAACTACCAATCAACAAAGAACCTGACACAAAACCACCATCTCTGAGAAAGCCAAACCAGAAAATAGGGGCCACAGGTCATACTTATGCTGACTTGAACTGGCAACATCCCCAAAGGATGTCCCCAGAGGAGGACCAAACACCTACTGCCACTCATGATGATCTGCATGTAAGTAAACAAACTGACAGGAGCTACACATGCCAGAAATCCTTACAGGGCAGTGACACTGACATGATCTGCTGTGTCCAGTGACCACCACTGCAAGCCTCCTCAGCCATGGCGAGCCAGGCGGGTTCTGGGAAAACAGCACCTCCAACAACTACACTGACACTGCTTCCACGGGCATCCCAGGGTTTGCCTCTCCACCGCCAGCACTGACCACATGCTGAGGAAGCCACCTGGCAGATAAAGACACCTAACGTGTGTCCACAAGCTCCACTTTCTGCTAGCAAAACTGCTCTACAGGCCAAGGCAGAGCCAGAGTCTGAGTCAGGAAGAATAAGCCACACCTAGAGCCTAGCTGTGTGTGTGTCTGTGCCAGGCCAAGATCCCAGTATGGCCAAGAAACATCAACTGACTTTTGGACATAACCAGGAGGCCTCCCTCAGGTGTCAGGGAGGGGAAACATCAGCCTGTTCCACATTACAGAGGCCTGAGGAACATAGAACATCCATGCCTTGGTATATGACACGCGTATATATGTCCCATATACGTCACAGGGAGTCCAGTCCTTCTGACCACCCTGCAGTGCCTGCCCCAGCTCTGCTCAAGAAGAGAGGTCTCTGCTCAGGAAAGAGAAAATTTCAAAAGTGGATAAGGGTTCTAGGAACAGTGGGGATAATGGGACTAAATAAAGCCCTGTGCCCCAAATGCAGAGTTCCAGGACCCTGGAGGGCTCCACTCTCCAGGCAGATTGACAAGTCTTCCCAGGGATTCAGTCTCTAAAGAAATGGCCAGAAACACAGGAGTCCCAACACCAGACTACTCCAGAAAACTCAAAGCTGAGGTGTGCTCAGACCCATGTCTTAAACAGGAGCAAATGGAAGGTGCCACCAAATACTAGAGAAAACATCTCACCTGAAGACAGAACAGAATAACCATGCGGGACACCCTGTAGGGACACCCTGTAAGGACAAGAGCCAAAAAATAATTCTCCCTCTCTCAACAAGATGCAGAGTTCAGAGGGGTAAGACATGCCTAGCCTTTCAAAAGAAGATTCACTGACTGGCAGAGAAACACCAAGGAGACAGGAAAAGACACTGGGGAAACTCAAAGGATCGTCCCAGAAGTGGGCATCCAGTCGGCAGACTTCCTACACATGTGCTGGAGATCAGACTCGGGTCCTCAGGCTTGGATAGTGAACTCCCCAGCCCTCAAGCATTCCTTTTTTAAAGGAATGCTTTCAAAAGTCCTCACAAGGACTTTAAGGTTTTTTTGAGACAGGTATGTGACATACTTTTAATTCCAGCACTGGGATCACAGAGATAAGAAGGTTCCTGGGCCTCTGGTCACTTGGCCTAGACAAACTGGTGAAGCCCATGTCCCAGAGAGAAACCTTGCTTCAATTAAAAAAAAAGGGGGGGGGGGTTCTTAAACTAGCATAATCCCTTACTGCATCATAAATATTTGCATATTTGCTCTTATACCACAGGTAAGTGTAGTCCTCAGCCCTCATCAAAGAAACTTCACTGAAACATACGGAGACCTACAAACAATCAAAAATACAGAGTCATGGAGCCCAGCCTCAATGGACACATTTACAACTCTCCACCTAAGGTTCAGAGAACACTGTAGAAGAAGGAACAAAGAGTCAGAGGACCAAGGAGTTTGCTGTGAGACTGGGTTTCCTACTAATGTCAGAAAGCATCTGTATGCTTTTTTTTTCTCACCAACATGACTGTCTAAATATGAGTTAAACAATAACAACAGACATGCCAAAGAGAACCAGGGAAAAGACCACAAGGCCTCAACCCCCCCGCACAAAAAAAACTACAGATATATATGCATTAATAAAAATTAGTGAAAAAAAGGCCATGAATTTGAAGGAAAGCAAGGAGAGGTATAAGCAAAGGTTTGGAGGGAAAGAAAGGAAAGGGAAATGATGTAATTATAATCTCAAAAATAAAAGAATTAGTAGTTTAAAAAATACAAAATAAAGTGGGTGACATTCCTGAGCATACCATCCAAGGCTAAACTCTGGATTATTGTACACACGAACACATATGCCCACACATAAATACACACACAAATAAAAGTAAAAGCAAATACACAAAAAGCCACAATGTTATTCTCACCTGGCCTTCTATACTACTCCCCCTGCCCCTACAACACCATCTGTCTGCACAATCCCAGGTTTTGAGCCAGTGCCTGCTCAGTACACAGTCACTGCAAATGGTTTGCAAGCCAGTCCCATAAAGCAAATGCATCATGGTGCATGTGGACTACAACGGACCTCACAGAAATTAGCTGCCGCAAACACTGCAGTGCCTCCTTGCCAGCTCCTCACAACACACACGCTGTAAAGATTAAGAACATTAATGTGTCCCACAAAGGTCAACGGTCAGGAACCACAGGAGGGAGCTGGGAAGCAGGTCTTGCAGGCAAGCATGACCAGGACCTTCCTACTGAGCTTCCTGTCCTGTGACCTGAAGTCACGGGATAGTGAGACAGCACAGCTCAGATGCTTCCAGCTGAACTGGGCTCACCTGCTACCCAGCAACAGCTAACTATCCAGTGATGCTGACCTGTGAGTAAGTCACAGGGGTTATGGGGACTCCACAGCTAACTATCCAGTGATGCTGACCTGTGAGTAAGTCACAAGGGGTTATGAGGACTAAGTGGAGACTGACTAGAACAGAGGGCATCCGAATCCTGAAGCAGACAGCTGGGGTAGGGAGGGAGAAGGGACAGCCACTGCTCAGAAGGACTGAACAATGGAGCAGAGATGAGGTGGGGCCCATAAGACACCCTACCTCCACAATGAGCCCATGGACAGATTTACTTTTCTCACCTCCTATGGAGCCCAGAGTGTTCATGGCATCTCCAGAGCAGGGCTATCCCTTGGTTATCACCCCGTCTTTGTTATACACTATCCCCTTCCCCAAAAGATACCAAGTCAAGGACTCCTCTGCTGGCATCCTCATCCTATGCTGCTGTCCCCCTGGCATATGTGATGATGCCATATGCCACACCCAAAGCACTGGCTAGCAGGGGAAGCTTGGGTATCCAAAACTTGTTAACTTTCCAACAGTCGACATCACACTAAAGGCACCACCACTTCCCTTCTATCATACCTCTACAGTCACACCAGGGAGACTGGGCTTTCAACTCTCACAGTGACCAAGAAGACCTGGAAAACCTGACTGTCAGGCAGCATCAACAGTCACACCAGCAGAATGCAAAACAGACATCAGTAGGAACTACGCTACTTTCCACAAGCCTGGAACTGCCAGACAGGCTTCTCCCAACTCAAGGGCACTCTGTCCCATCTGTACTGTCCCAATATGGCCTAACCAGACACACTAAAGCAGTTCCTTTCAGGACAGCCCTGGCACCACCCACAACACCCAGAGTTTGACATGCACTCACAGCAGTGCCTACAGGAGGCAAATCAGGCTTGAAGCCTTGGGACAGGTATGGGTGATAGGGAGTCAGGGAACTGCCAATGCCAGTCACCAAGAGAAGAGAGGCACAACCCTGCAAGAAGTACCAAGGGGGCCACACATTTAATTCCAGCATTCTGGAAGCAGAGACAGGCAAATCTCTGGGACTTCAAGGCCAGGCTAATCTACATAACAGAACAGCCAAGGTTCCTTAGTGCGGCCCCAGCTGGGGGTGGGAGGGAAGCAGAAGGGCCTACTATTCTGCTCCTAGCTAAGGACCAACACAGAGGGAGCAGAGCTGCTGGGCTCCACTCCAGCTCCCACAGGGGTCTAAGAAACCCTACAGAAGCCCCAGATGCATCCAAGTAGACATGCCCTCCTAGATACAGTGAGGGCCCATTCTCACTGTTCTCTTCTCCTCCTTCCCATTGCCAGCAGTGGGCACCTCTCTGTGATCCACATGAGAGCAGACAGTGGTCTACTACACCAGTTAAAACCCAATGCTCTGCCAGGTGGTGGTGGTTCACGCCTTTCATCCAGAACTTGGGAGGCAGGTGAATCTCTGAATTCAAAACCAGCCTTGGTCTACAGAGCAAGTTCCAGGACAGCCAGGGCTACACACAGAAACTCTGTCTCAAACAAAAACAAACAAACAAACAAAAATAAAACAAAAACCCACAAAAAGAAACCACAAAAAGAACAACAACAAAAAAACAACTCCTCAGAATGTGTCAGGGATGTCCAGATTGTGATAGCACAGCACATCTAGGTACCTGCTGGTCTCTGAATGAGGCACAGCCCAAGTCATAAGCCCTGGCTCCTAGAGTCATCACAAGCCAAGGGTCTAGGCCTTCAATGCAAGCTCTGCCTCAGCTTCCAGGAAAGGCTTCTCACTTTATAAATAACTGCCATGCCCAAAATGTAGTGAGGGTTCCCAAGAGATGAGGCTGCACCAAATGCAATGGCTTCATTGAACTTCCACACTCAGCCCCTCCTTGCTTCCTCAGAGCCCAGGATCCAGGTTCCCTATGTGGGTGCTCTGCCTGTGGGGTATGACTGAGGTTTTGGGGTTAGTGGGGACAAACCATCCTCCCATCAACCAAGCTATGCCATGTTCCTTGACAAGATGGCCTTACACAGCATCTCAGCTCAGAAGAAAGCAGTCAAGTAAGATTAGAGGGCTGCTAGCCATAACCAGCCTTACTCTAAGACCACTACAAGGCAGAACATAGCTCCCTGCACCCAGAACAGAACGCAGCCTCACCCGTGTCATTTTCAGAAAGTCCAAGGACGGCCGTGTCCACCTGGCATCCTCCTCCCGTCTCCGCTTGCGCCGGACCCTCCTCCCATCCAACACACAAGGCTGTGAGCGGCACCGGAGCAGGCCATGGTGTCGGCCTAGCTCAGGTGTGGATGTGGGGGTGCTGCTGGCTGAAGGCAGGCAAGTGTTCGCATCTACAAGGTGCTCTTGTGAGAGAGACAGTCGGCGCCTGGAGGAAAACGGGCAGGATCCTGCAGAAAGCCAAGGCGGACCTGAGCTTGCACTGCCCTCACTGCCATCCACAAAGCCACTGCTGGCTGAAGCTGGCCGGGGCGTCGGCGGTGACACAGAACTCCTGGGCAGGCCTGAACACCCCTGCAGGGCAGGGCTCCCTAGAGCGCTGCAGCACTGCAGGGTGGCACTCCCACCACTGTTGCACCTCCTCTTAGAGATGGGAGTCCACACCTTGGAGCTGCCAGGGCGCCATGGGGAGCGGCATCGAGCCAGCTCCTCTGGTTCCGACAGGGACCGGCAGTGTCGCTTGGTTGGTGGTGCTGCAGGTGGCCCTGTGCTCTCATGGAGGTCCAAGAAGCTGCCCACATCCATAGGCCCTGGAGATGCCAGCTGCCATTTGAGACCTTCGGTGTGCGACACACCAAGTGGGCCTAATGGGAAAGGGCCTGAGGCCACCTGGCTTCCAATGGGCCATCCTCCATGTAAGGCCTTCCAGGGACTTTTGTCCACTAAAGAAACACAAAGGTATATGAAGAAACAGGTAAGCAATAGGAAGTCACACTGCTGCCTCCCTTCCCAGGCTCACAGACACATCTGAACATAAAATACCCCTGCTCACATGGTTGGTACTACACTATCTTCAATGGCCTTTGGCACCTGAATCGCCAAGCTTCACCTGGTCTTTTTTTCCTTTTTTCAGATAGGGTCTCTCTATATAACCCTGGTTGTCCTGAAGCTCATTATGAAACACCAGGCTGGCCCTGAAATCACAGATCCATCTGCCTCTGCTTCCTGAGTTCTGGGATTCAAGGTGCGTGCCACCATGCCTGGCTTCACCTGGTCTTAAGGAGTTGTCTCTCCACTTGTGTTTCCTGAAAATAACCTGATTCCAATCTTACCCCCATTCACTAATATACTGTGTCATCAAAATGCTTTACTCCTGTCCCTGGCTGGCCTCTAAAGGTGGACCTTTGCCAGCCAGGAGTCAGACGACGCTACTTCATAGAAACTGCCACATTTCTTAATGACCAAATCAGAGTTTCAAATCCTACAGATAGAGGCTGTGGCTGAAGCTAGGTATAGTGGCTCATTCCCGTTATCCCAGGATTTGTGAGGCAAAGGCAGAACTGACAAGCGTTTAAATTAGAATTTTCCTTTGTGTCTGAGAAACACAGTGAAACCCTGTCTCAAACAAAACAAGACTTGGCCTGGACATCTGCCTGCTGGACATTGGACTGTGACCCTGCCCAACATCCTCAAGCCTCCACTTCTTCAGTTCTAAAGCAGGTTGCTGGCAATAGCCCCATGGTGGCTGGTCATCCTGCAATACCATGTACCTAAGACATCACAGGTTAAGTGCAACAAAAGGGGTACTTCTTCTGACCCTTCTATCAAGCCCCCTGAGGAAGACTTAGGAGTCCTTAAGACATCTGAGCCCAGACTATAGCTCACAAGTCTCAGCACCCCAGGATCTAACATAAATCTATATCTCCCAGGGGATATACCCACATGACAGCTCTCCATATCACTGCCCAGACTAGTCCAACTCTCCTCGGGTCAGTTTAAGCGCTCAGTACAACCTGGCATCCAGACCCTGCATGAGCTTCTCAGAGCTATCATGGCCCTAGCTTCTATTCCTCTTGTTGGCTACAAAGGGCAGGCATCTGCTCCAGCCCTCACTCACAGATGTGCAAAGGCAGGTATGTGCGTGTCTTCATATAGTTAGCCCAGCTGTGAAGCCCAAATATCCAGGGACCTGACCAAAGGATGCTCTAGACACTCTTGATGGGAAGGCATCCCACGGGTCACTCAGCCTTTCCCTGCTTCTTCCAGTCACTGTCAAACTAAGGGACACTGGAGTATGGGCCAAGAGACCAACAGGAAACAGCCAGGATCACTCCATCAAGGGCCCTGGGATGACCTGAGATAGCAAGAAGGCAAGAGTGCCAATTGAGGGAAAAAGGGAAGAAAGGAGTACATAAGAGGCCCCCAGAAACTCTGAGGAGGGCCTGAGGCAGTTAACATGGTCCCATATGCAGGAGGGACTGGAGGAGCCAAAATCAAGTGGGAGTGAGGACACAGGTCAAGTGAGATGGGGACAGAGACCTCATGTCCTACTTCCAACTGTTCATGCAAAGGTTAGTCAATACCTCTACTTTTGTAATCTGGTGTTCGGCAAGGCGACTCTGACATGGTTCTACCATGTATGCTGCTCCGACTGTCAAGACCAACACAGGATTATTCTAACCTCAGGGTCTTTGCTTGAATTTATCAGAAGTGTGCCCACTCTTAGAGACCACTGTTCTCTGTAACTCCTAAAGAGCAATGTGTCAGGAAGTGAGGGCAAGCCTAGGTAGGTTCAGTATTTGTTCAGCCAGTGTATATCACAGTAGAATGGCAGCCAGAACACGTACCACCTGATTATCCTTCCCCTGATAGCTAAAGGAAACCACAAAGTGGGCCTTGTGTCTTACGTAAAGGGTAAGGCCCTCTCTAGCTCCCTCCCACATCAGCAGCAGCAGCAGCAAAGAGAGGCCCTGCTGAGCCTTGACCCTGACCCATCCTGCTTAGAGACCAGTTCTGACTTCTAGATCATGAGCAGGGAGGGTGGTGGCTCATGATCTTCCTGTCCCACATGTAGGTCACACAAAGGCCTCCCTGAACCTTGCCCTAAATATCTGGCTCAGTGCAGCTCCAAAATCCCCTCCTGGCCAAAGACCCAACACCACCTTGCTCCATCATCAGCCTCTTCAGCCCTAGAAAGACCCTACCTGTGCTTCTGAGACTTACCGCCAATCTCCAAAGGGAACAAATGGCCACTTTTGTTCAGTTTCTCAGCAGAATACTGAAAGTGACAAGAGAGAAGTCTCAGCACTTATGTGAAAACTCAAGCGTTCACTACAGTAATGTCATTTCTCCCGAACACCTCCATTGGTGTTTAAAATTACAGGCACTGACCTCTAGAAAATACCGTTTTCTTAATAAAAAGGTTGAAGACTTTATTAAACATTTATTTTCTTTTTTTTTTTTTTTTTTTTTTTTTAAATATTTATTTATTTATTATGTATACAATATTCTGCCTGTATGCCTGAAGGCCAGAAGAGGGCGCCAGACCTCTTTACAGATGGTTGTGAGACACCATGTGGTTGCTGGGAATTGAACTCAGGACCTTTGGAAGAGCAGGCAATGCTCTTAACCACTGAGCCATCTCTCCAGCCCCAAACATTTATTTTCTATATGGGGTGGTTATGTATAGCTATAGTGCACATGTTAAAATGAGAAGCAGCTTATGGGAGTCAGTTATGTCTTTAAAACCATGTGGGTTCCAGGATCAAACTCAGGTTGCCAGGCTTGGCAACAAATGCCTTTACCCACTGAGCCCATCGGAAGTTTTTTTTTTTTAACCTAACAAAATCTACCTGAACAAATGGACATCATCCAGACCCACTACGTGCTTCCTCATACTTGCTCTTGAAGTTTTGGCCTTTTCCTTTTGGATGGTCTATATTAATGGTCTTTTAAACCTCACCACCCAGTTACTTTTCAGAAAGATCCTGAGGGGCTAGAAAGACAGTTCAGCAGTTAAGAAACAGCTCAGCACTGGTTACTCTTTCAGGACTCCAGTTCAATTCCCAGCATGCACACAGACGCTCACAGCCATCTGTAACTCCATTTCCAGGGGATCTAATGCCTTCTTCAGGCCTCCTCCAGCACCAGGTAGACATGGTGTACATATATTCAGGCTAAACACTAATTCATGGAAAATAAAAATAAAGCTTTTAAAAAAAAGACTGAGGGTCTGGAGTGATGACTCACTGGTTACAAGCACTGGCTGCTCTTCCAGAGAACCTAGGAACTGGGTTCAATTCCAATTCCCACACCCACATGGCAGCTTACAACTGTCTATAACTCCTGTTCCAAAGAATACAATGATCTCTTCTGGTCCCACAGGCGGCTGCACAAAAGTGGTGCACAAACATGCATGCAGGCAAAATACCCATAACACAAAAATGAAGAAAAAAAAAGACTGAGCCAAGACCCAAGAACCCTTTACTGGTCATGACAGTCCAAATATAGTATCTTGATGGTCCTAGCTTGATGGTCCCAGTCCTGAGAAAGGTCCAGAGAGCAGAAAAAAACCCTCCAGGAAGGCAGATAAGCCATTGACAGTCTCAAAGATAAGCAGAAAATGCCATAGCAACTGTACCAGAAGTCCTGGAGAACTACTGTTGTTTCACATATAGAGAAAGCGGGTGTTTAACACATACTTATAATCCCAGCAGTCAGGAAGGTCAAGGCAAGAGGAATACTCCAAACTTCAGATTAGTTTGAGCTACTTAGCAAGACCCTTGTCTAGTCAATCAACCAATCAATAAGCAAGACAAGTGTAGTGATATATGCCTGTAATTCAGCAGTTGGGAATTTCATAGAGATAGAAAAAGAAGGATCAGGAGTTTGGGTATATAACATATTCAAGGTCAGGTGGGCTAAGTAAAACTCTATTCTCAAAAAAAGAAAAAGAAAGGAAAAAACAAATAAAAATAAAAGAAGTTAAAAGTTGGGTTTATGACTCAAAAAGTTACCTTTTAACAACAGGTTCCTGTCTAGAGATAGACAGGTCTTCCTCTGCAGTGGAGTATGTTTCCCCGAGCATAGCTGAATGGGGGTGGTGAACACATGACCAACCTGGACTCTGTGGGCACTGGACAACCTCAAACTAAGATGGACAGAGAAGGCTGCTTTATGGATACTGCAAATGATGAAAGCTCTCATGCCACTGTGCATAATTAGTGGGCTGCCCACAACATTTGAATAGCTGCAAAAGACCACAGTCTTGGGCCAGCATAATGGTTTCCTTCCAGGTGGCTGATAGCCACTCCACTAGCCAGCCAGTCCAACCACTTGCTAAGAGCAAGTACCTGATATGTTTTCATAGCCCACCTTCCCTGGGCCTGCATCCCCAGGATGCACAGGAATGCACCCACAAGAATAACCTAATACACTCCAGGAAGGACAGGCCTTTCTCAGCAACAGAAATGGTTCCTGGGATAATTGAGGAGCTGTGGGCCTGTACCTAACCAAATGTTTTTTCAGTGAACATTCAAGGACTGGTGCAGAATAGCCAGACTCTTCACAGAAGGCATCTACGGGGATCTATGAGAGATGGGAGGAGAAGGTGAAGAACCCAATGACATGAGTGCAGACACTCAAGACAGTGGATCTAACACTGATCACACCCATTTGTAGAGATCAGTCTCTGTATCATACCACATCCCAGGACCTTGAGACATGGCAGCTTCTGGGCCTCCTTGAGAGATACTCAAGAAGGTAGATTTGCTGAAATAGCAGGCTCCCACTGGGCCAATTCAAGCCTGGCCCTGCCCAGATGGACATGGCTAGGGGCACCAACCGCCCATGTTATACCATCTAAACCAGTGACACGATAAACCTTCCATGCTTCTTGCTTCCAGCTCAGTCGCATCACACTTTCCTCTCTCCTCTTCCCGACAGCCAGCTCCTAGCCTTTTACTCTAGCTCTACTGCATCTATCCTGGACCAAGCTAATGTTGGTGGTCTTGGCTGGCCTTCTCTGCTTCCATTGACCCCATTACCCTCTTCCCATAGCTAGAGGGGACTGCTACTCTGATCTGAATCACAGCCCTTCTGCTTCAAGCCCTTGGCACCTAAGAGTCAAATCCTAGGACCAAGGCATATGTCTTAGTTATGTTTTCTACTGTTGTGATAAAATGCCATGACTAAAAGCAACTTGGGGAGGAAAGGGTTTATTTGGCTTACATATCCCTAGTCACAGTCCACTGAGAGAAGCCAAGGCAAGAATTCAATCAGGATATGAACCAGAAGGCAGAAACTAAAGCAGACGTTATGGAGGAATGCTGCTTACTGGCTTGCTCTGTACAGCTTGCTCAGCCTGCTTTCTTATACTACCTGGGGTGGTACTATCCTTACTGAGCTGTACCCTTACCATCAACTATTAGTCAAGAAAATGCTTAACCTTATTTTCTCAATTAAGATGACCAGGCTTGTGCCAAGTTGACAAAAACCAACCAGCATAGTATCTCCATTGCCACCAAGCTCTCATCCCAGAAAGCACTTATTGCCCAGGTCATTGCCCACTTTCTCCAGCTACACTGGTTCCTTATCTCCCTGCCTCCCAGGAGCTAAGTAAACACTTTCCCAGCTCTGCATCAGAAGCCTCAATGCACAACTGAAATGCATATATGAAATTCAGGTTCCAGTGTCCCCTGCTGTCTGAGAATACTCTAAGTCCAAATAGATGTGACAGCTGGCCCCAACTACTTGTCAACTGCCCTGTCCTTGTTGTCCCCAAACCTACTTTCACAGCCAACAAAAAACTCCCATCTTCAATGTACACCCCAAATCATATCCCAGATACTCAACCCAGCAATACATTAGACCACTGTCTTCACCAACCCTCCACCTATGGTCACAAATCATCTATGCCTCTCCACCCTTGAGGTAGCAGTCATTCAGATACAACCACACATTTTTCCAGGTCTTTCTGCAACAGCCAGACTATTCACTATCCTTCAAGCATGAGAGGTAAAGTAAGAAAAACTGGGTGTGCCTCAGGCAGAGGGTACATAATATGATCAAATAAAATGAATAGAGATAGCAGAGATGGGAGGATTCAGTCCTGCTGAATCAGAGGAGTACTGAAGGACTCTGGCTTTAGAGGAGGACCAAAGGTGCAGGATCAGGCACACACTGTGAGCCCATAATGACAGAGTCCATAGTGGCAAACATCAGCATCTGTCCCAACAACAGAGCCCTAAGACTAGGGGAGATTCCTTGCATTCTCCTCTAGTTCTGCTGACCTTGAGCTCAAAAAGCTACATCAGTCTTGTGGCCCAAGAGCCAGAACTGTGGCCACCACAAGTTGTCCCCACCCAGCACATGGAGGGTCAAGCAAGCAGCACAAACAACCCAGACTAGTACCACAATTATAGCAATGGAGGCACTGAATGCTTAACGACTTTGAGTTTTATTAACATTTAATTATTTAAAATTTTACTTTTAAAACTGATATTCAGTTTTGTTATTAGAAAATTGCCAATGGGTGATGGTGCACGCCTTTAATCCCAGCACTTAAGAGGCAGAGGCAGGTGGATCTCTGTGAGTTCAAGACCAGCCTGGTCTACACAGCTAGTTCTAGGAAAGTCAAGGCTACACAAAGTTACCCTGTTTTGAAAAAACAAAAAAAAAAAGGAAAGAAAATTGTTGATTATGTTTAGAATGCCTCGACTCGGTGAATCTGCTTTTCCAAGTGTAAATTTTATGAAAAGTTCACTAGGAAGAAACAACATCTTTTAGGCATCCAAGTTTAGAAAGACTCGTGCCTACAGTCTGGGCATGAACATGGCCCAACACGGACATCATCATCATACGAGAGCTGAAGGAAAGAGCGCCAAGAGTTGTTTGCGTACTTTCTTTGTTTTATGTTTCTGGAATCCCTAGCTGTATTCAAAATGTATCTGTGTTAGTGTCAAGTTTCATGGCACTGAAAACCAAAGACAAAACATTAAAGTGCACGTGGAGTCATGCAATAAGTAGTTACAAACATAAAACATTAAAAATAAGTAACCACTGGTCCCAGCACTCAGGAGGCAGAGGCAGGTGGACTGAGTTGAGGCCAGCCTGGTCTACACAGCTAGTTCCAGGCCAGCTATGGGTACACAGTGAAAACCTGTCTCTGAAAAAAAAAAAAACCCTCAATAAATTAATTATGAATTAATAAAATAAATGATTTCATGGTTAAAAAAATAAAAAGAGACCCACCCACTAAACTAAAGCAGATGAACGAAT